AATGAATTTTTCTAATCAATAAAGTTATTTTTTATATCATAGAATTATATAATCATCGGTATTTTACGTGTTAAATTGAAACCTTTGCTAGTTAACAATTATTACATTATTCAATTATAGCAATTTTTATAATAGATTTCATAGAAATGTCATTAAATACACGCATTCAATTGTGCACGCTGTATGCACCTGAACAAAAACCGTCAACTGCCTCGGGCGAATATCAATGATTCCAGCATGATCGTAATGAATCGCATCCAGCCGGTAAGATATAGTCGAGTGATGTAAAAAAGTGAATCGAAGAAGACTCGTTAGAGTTAAGTCATCATCGTGATTCAGAAAGACGCGTGGTGCTCTCTCTGAGATACTATATCTATGCGCTGGAGCGACTGAATAAGGTGAGAGAGGAAATCGCGACTGGTTTTGCTATACGGTAGGTAGTACGTACTCACAATCGGTGACCGAATAAGGGTAAGGAATTCGCTCCTAGCCGATCGAAATTACTCTCGAGCTTCTTTCAAAATTACTTCATCCGAGGTATAAGCAGAAAGAGAATCAATATAAATATCTACTGCCTAGAATTTCGGAAGAGAGACCCAAGAATAAGTCTTTGCTAACTGATGAACGGAACAGGTAGAAACACAGGTAGAAAATAAACTAAAAACTAATAGCATCGAATAATTCGAAAGGTAATAAAACAATTATTCTCTTTCTGAGTAAGGCTGAGTAAATTCCGTCCGAAGGAGCAACTGAAGACGTGGCGACTTGTAGACTTTATGGCAAGTACGTGCAGGAAAGGCTGCCTGCCAGGATTGTAATACTTTCGAGCATTGTCGACTTCTTTTCATTCGCATGAGTTTTACCATTTTTACGGTTCACGTTTTCATAACGCCTTCACGTTCTTCAATAGCTGACCTTTTCAGAACTTTGAAGTTTCGAAGGGTTTATTAGGAACCATTTGGCTTAGCCAAATTTTCATGCGGCGACCATTTGGAGACATTTTTTGACGACCTATCCTTCCAAGACCTCACGTACCTAGAGTCGACTAATCCTTACTCTCTTTACGAGCTGGTATAAAATCAAGAGGGAAGGTGTTCCTCCCGTAAAAACTGATTGAACAGGCGAAAAATTTCAGAGTTATTATTTATCACTTCACAATTTTTATGTTATACGCTTCTTAAATTATATCAGATTGAATTAGCGGCTGAATATAAACTTGGCGAACGGTGGATGATTGTACGAATCGTACGATTATTATTCAATTACTGTCTTTGATTTAACCGATCTAAAAATAGTCTTCTAGGTACTCTAGAAACGAAAACGAGATCTACAAGATTATTGGTTTTGGAGTCGGATGAAAATAGCATGGCATCCGAGGGAACTTTTCCGTTTTCCACCGCTGGTACCATGGTCTTTATTTAAATTGAAAATACGCGAAGGAAATGCCATGAAAATTGCGCGACACAGGCCAAACAGATATTTGTCACGCGCTTATGCAAGAGGGTCAGTATTTATGTATACGAGAGAATTCGTCTTGGCGCCGGCCTCGCTTGGCATCCAGTCGGTGTTCGAGATTCTCTAAAAAGCTACTTCTAATATTTACAGAAAACTCAAGTAAAAAAAGTCGTATTACCACAGAACAAATATCAGTAAATCGTCAAACTGAATCTATAGTTAAGTTCCCCATTGAGACGAACGTTAATCCGGCATAATAAAAGAATTACCAAGTTAAATAAAAAAATGCGATGTTTAAGAAATGAGATCTACTCTACCTCCCTTATAGCCATTATGAAAGAACAATTCTTATAAAACTGAGTACGTGGTCATCAATCTAATTGAGTTAAGAGTCAAGCTCGAGTCACGGAAATAGTGTAAGACGAGTTATTACGCAAGCGAGTAGGCTCGCATTGAGACGTAGACGCGGGGATTCCTCGTGGCGCCGCGCGTCTGGCGTGCAACACGCTCGAGTCCGCTTCGCGTATTCACGAGGTGGAGGACGAAGGGGAGGATGCGACGAGAGACGCGAGATCTGGCAGCCGCCGGAGAATTCGTGGCTCGACCTAACCGAGCCGATTGCGAATAGCACGGTAATTGATCTATAATGATCTATAACCATCCGTTACCGAGGTAACGACAGCCTGACGATTATCAAGAAATTAATTATTATTTAACTTGGCTCAGGTGAGAAACGAAATGTTGTTTCAAGAGCAGAGGATCAGAACTGAAATCGATTATATAAATAGACTGTGCACTTTTATACGAAATAGAGTATTTGTGACGTGAATGTTAAACATGAAATATAGATTCGAAAATAATTATTAGACTGCGACTCTTCATACGAAATAAAATATCTGACATTTAATTTTAGACGTGCTTCGGTCTTATTCATCAAACATCGTAACAGACATAATGCTTCTAATATTTTATACATATATTTTTGCATATTGATTAGTCCTGAAATATTCGTGATAAAAGAAGATCATTAATTACAATGAAACATGTTCCTCGTATGAATCAATTGACGAGTTAATTAAGCGCGATGTGCTAGTTTCTAGAATTTGAAGAACGGTTCTAA